CCTCCGACACACGAGAAGATCCTTTAATGGTTCCGTAGAATTTTTTATTGTATTTTCAAACTTTGAACATGTTTGGAGACTTTTTCGTCACGACCAAACTTTTTTTGGAGTTCAATAGACTACCTATTTGATTTAGAGTGTAACAACTAACACAAAAGTTACCACAAACAAAACAACTATTTAAAGAACGATTTGTTTGTGCGTAAGGTTATTAATGTAAATGAACATGTTATTGTAACCATATAAACAACATTCAATTTATCTTGTAATTTTTTATTTTTGTCTTCGAATTTATCTTATAATTCTTTATTTTTGTCTTCCAATAATGATATTGTTTTTAAAAGGTAGTCCATTTTGTCATCATTATTTAAGATCTGTTGTTGTTGATTTAATAACTTTTCAACTTGATTATCTAATGTGAGCTGTTGAATAAGTATTTTTTCCTCATTTGATAATTGTTCTTGTGTATTGAGTAATTCATTTTGATATAATATTACTTTATCAGATTTTGGCTCGATCTAAATAAAAAAAATTATTTAGTCATCAGTAACAAATGGCTAGCGTCTCACAGGTAGGTTCATTGTTCAACAATGGTGGATCATGAAAAATCATAGCGCCAATCGGAGAATCTCCATCATCTAGTCAGAATTCTTTATCTTTATTAATGAAAATTCTTTTCAATTCAATCACTTACGGCTGGCACATTTTTTTGATATTCCTTATACTGGAATATCGTTTCAAAAACCGATTTGATAAATCGGACTATATTCTTCTTGGTATTTAAAATGTTCAACACATTTTAGATATTTCAATACCTGTAATCTCTATCTGTCTAAAAGCATACAAAAATAGTTCATTGAGATTCTGATTCATTGAAAGAATGATCAGTTCTGAATTTTTAATTAAACTTACATCGCTATTGTCAATTGAAAATTGAAGAAAAAAATATTCGTTGTATTCTATGATTGACATTAGCAGTTGTAGAGTAGAAGAGCGATAATGTTTCGTCGAAGATGTGAATGTGGGAAACTGAATCTGTGAGCGAAAGCATTTTGGCTTTTAGTTTGTTGTTGATTCCTCATTACTGGCACGAAATTCGTAGCCATAAGTCGTCGAGAAAATAGTAATATATACTAGAATAGAAATAAAAAGAAGTTATTACATGGAAAAACGATTTTCAATGAATAGCTAAATAACTTACTTGACCATTTTGATTTGATTCTAAATTGATAGGTTTTTTAATTCGTTTATTTTTTCCATCTAGAAATAAAAATTAAACATTAAGTATTTTGATTGTTGTGGACAATTATGAAAAAATAACTACATAATAAATGAGAAAACTTTGGATTTTATCTGAAAGTTATGTGTACTGCAAAAAGTGTATGGGACAGATGAGTCATTTTAGAACGTCTGAACACCAGAACTATAATAAATCTTGTCTATGAGCATAATTTCTGTTGACTGATGCTCATCTAAAAGAATTGAGATCGCCTATAACTCATATTTCACCTCCACTTTTGTTTATCCTAGGACAATCATTTTTCTTATAATTTAATTTTTATTGATGACTACTCAATCAACAGAGTTTCGAAGCAAATGGAGTACAGATTCGAATTCTTCGATCTAGAAAACCTCGAAGGAGTATATCGGAAACCGAAGATAGAATTTCAGTTTTGAGTCAGCAAAGACTAAGATGATTGTGTCTATTGAAACAATTCGAGAATATATTGTACAATAATGCACACTTGATAAAAATCAAAAAGCCGCATTTATGATTATTAGACTTTATTTGGAGAGTCTTAGTATGGGCGTTGTTTCTACCTTATAACAACAAGTAACGCGCGTCGGAGCGACTCGCTAGACCCTCGACTGATTGCGACTAGTATACTTCCAAAAACAAATTATGGAGATGCACTCTTTTGACTCCTTTTACCACAGTTTGTTGAAATACCACTCAATTTTCAGCATTGTGTCGGGTGCAGTGTTTCTAATAGCAAGTGTACCAAGCATAATCGAAATGTACGGAACACTTGCTCCTCTTGAAATACACGCTGCGGTGCACTTATCCCAAAAAGTAAAGTGTACGAAATACACTTTGTTTAATAAAACAACACTTTGCTTCTAATTCTAAGGATTTTCAAGATCAATATGAATTACAAAAGTTATGTCTAAACAATGAACCCTTGCAACCTTTTTTGATACAAATTATCGTTCGTATCTTGGAAAGATAATTGTATTTACATTTATTGTGTATTTGTTCATCTACCATTATTTAATTGCTCTACGAAAGGATGGCATGAATGTTCTTCTATTTTTCACTTCTTTATTTTGTATTAAACGTCAAGTGTATACACTTTGATACACTTGGCATACGAAAACAAGATGTACACATACACTTGGCTAAGAAAAATAAAATGTACATATACATTTTGTTTTAGATTTCTATTAGAAACCCTGGTCGGGTGTGTCGATGAATCCACCAAAAACATTTCTAGATCATGCACGAGCAGGTTCCTGAACAGTGTTATATCCGTAGCGGCTCGTCGGTCGTCGGCGTCCCTTCGGTCCGCCACTCCGGACTCACCGCTGCTAGTCGATGATCTCAACGACTTTTCACTCTATGCGTCACTCATCTATTGTTGTTACACAATCATTTAAGAGTGGGCACATTCTAGGTATACTTTCCCATATAGTGGGCGAGGGAGGCGTATCGAGAAACCAATGGTGTCATCGGATCCCCCGCTCCCCAGCACTTACGATTACGGTTTTGAAAGGTTTTCCGACTGAATGTGTTTTGTTGACACCAGCGTTCCTGTCACCTCTTCAGAGAGGCAGACAAACTATTTTTTCTTACACCTTCCTTACAGTCGAGGAAAGAAAACAGTCTTACCACTTCGTATAACGCATTTCCGGGGTGTTGGTAGATGTGAATGTGATTATTTTGCCATTCGACATTCTCATCCACGTTTTCACACCATCAACCAAACCCGGTACCAACTCACACCCATAACCACACTCTCAAGAGCTAATTCTACCGTTTTAGTACTCGCGACTCTTGATTGGTCAATATTATTAACCTCGGTTTCTGATTTGTCATCAACTAACGATCGTTCGACAACTCGCTTAGCCCTTTCTCGCAGAAATGCATTTTCTTCACATTTATTGGAAAAACAAATGAAAACCGCGAAAAATTAGTTTTCGATGTTCTTTTGACCTCTCACCCACTCCCACCCACCTCTCCACACGGTCACCCATTAGACCTCAGATTCGAACTCCCCGCATCGAAATACCTCTAGAAATGTCTTTTTTGAAAAATAAATTTTCGATGTTCTTTTGACCCTGGCACAGACAAACAAACGCATTTTCGTTTTTTTCGTATCACTCTCCTTTCAGTCGAGGGAATAAAAGAGAAATAGAGTTTGTTTAATAAACGTTAAATAAATAAATCGAAAAAAGAATTCTATAAATAGAAACGAAGAATTTACTTGATCAATCTCTAAAATTTTATTCTTTAAATAAAATTTATTTCTTAATCATGACACAAATTGAATCTAAAACACTTGAAAAGTATTTTCTAAATTTCTAATTTAAATTCTTTTTTTTTTAAAAACTTTCCTTAGTTTAACAGATGATGATGACGATGATGATCAATTAAATTCTTCGAATAAAATCATTCCAACTGCTTATAAATCAAATCAATCAGGTTTTGAAATAAAATTTTTGTTAGATTATTTATAAAGAAATAGTTTTTCTATAGAACTCAACGAAGAAGACACTTCAAAAATAGTAATTAACTTTTGGTTATATTTTAATAATAAATATTTTACATATTATTATTTTAGAATAATCAATCGGATTTTGATATCGAAAATTTAATAAAATTAGATTTAAAAAACTTTATTAATAAATCAATTCCAAAAGAATATGAAAATTTTATTCAATGTCATATAAAACGTGAAAAAGATGGTTTTTCAACAATATATTCTTTATATTATATTGGACAAAATGAAGATGATCAAGTATTTCTATTTATTAAAAAGAATAAAATTTGAAATTAAATTATTTTTAGTTTTTTAAGATTTTACTTTTAAAGGCACGAAAACATGTAACAATTGGTGGGCATTCAGAATTTCTTTTAGAAATTTCTCTGGAAAATTCCTTAACAAAATTAAATGATGAAACATCAATTGCAAAATTAAGATCGATAAAAATTCTTCAACATGAATATGTTCTTTATGATTATGAAAATAATCAAGAAAATAAACCACAAATACTTGCCATTATTTATGTAAGTTATTAACAGATGCGATCGACATATGTTCTTTTCACCTGATTAGAAACGTGATCGACGTAACACGAAAGATCATCATAGACATGATCATTGAATTCATAGTCGTTAACAAAGATAAATACATTAATCATTTATTTAGTATTAACTGATTTTTCTCTTGAATTTAAAATATTAATCAAGTCAATTCATAATAACACAATTTAATGGAGTATATACCACACAAGGAATAGAAAATGAAAAAAAATTCATTAAAATAGTTATTAAGAAAACTTTCCACCAGAACAGTACCGTGACTTCGTTTATTTTAGCAAAAATTCAAATGACTACATTAGTTTCGTTCGATTTTTATTTGAAGCATTACAAACTATATGTCATTTTAGGTAGTATTATGGAGTCTTGCAGAGAATAATTACTCTGAACTTTAGGTAGAATTGAGAAATACGTTCTCATCTATATTATTTGCAGGCTTAGCTGAAAAAAATGAAAAATTTTTTTTGCTTCCACACTTCTCATAGAATGCCGTCCTTGAAGTTCTTAATTATTCTCTCGATAAGATTTTCATGCATGAATTTCAAAAACATAAAAACTAATATCATAACTATCGAATATTTTATCTTCTATGATTATGATATAAAACTCTTTCGATAATAGATAAATGAGATTAATTTATATATTTAATAAAATAAATTTTTCTAGGATGAACATAGATTTGGATCAAAAGAACCTCGAAAATTCACAGTATTGTTACATAATACAAAAGAAGATCTTCGACAATTCAAAGTAAATGTTGATTGATTTATTTATTTATTATTTTTATATTTAAAAGGAAAATGAAACAATAATTGATGAATGGCGAGCTGGACGTTCAAATGATTTAATTGAAATAAAAAATAAAATTCCAACATATAATCAAGGTTAATTAAGAAAAAGTGAATTTTAGTTTTTTTTAAACTCTAATTTAATTTAGAATTTCAAGTCTATAGTCTTCCAATGTTAAATAATCATATAAAAGAAGGATCACATAAAAATTTTCAATTAATTTATTTAAATGAACATAGTATGTGAAACTTATTTTATTTTTTATTTATTTAATCTAGATGAAGAAGATATAATTATGGAATTTGGTCATATTAATGAAAATAGATTTTCTCTTGACTATCGTTATCCACTAACAACTATAGAAGCATTTTCTATTGCATTAAGTTCTTTTCATGATCGATTTCGTACTTAAATTTTTTTAAAATTGAATCAAATCTTATCTTGTTTATTCTATAAAATAAATTTATTTTGAAAAAGATAAATATAAGGTACGTATATTATTCTTTTTCTTTCTACACTTGCCTTGTTTCTTTTATATGCATATTATTTATCCAGACGTATAATAAAACTTATTAGTATTATATGTATTTTCTTTTGTCTTTACACGACTAGTATGTTTATGGTTGACTGAGTTAGATAAAATCGACTTATATTAACAAGAAGAATATTACAAGTGTCATTTGGATAAAAGTGCTTTCGTATAAAATACAAATATAATAGTGCATTTTCTTTTATATTATAAAAGGTATGTTTTCAATAGACAATCTTAAAAAGACAACTGAAATGTTTACTAATAGAAAAAAAAGTTTTTTTTCGATAATTAATTAAGTAAAAATAAACAAAAAAATATTTTTCTATAATATTCATTATATTATTTCACTCATATTAGTATTTGTAATCTCAATTTATTTCATTTAAAGCTATCTCTCTCTCTCTAGTGTTTCTTTGTTCATAATCAACTATGTCTAAAGTCCTATAGTATTATTATTTGTAAACATACGAAAAGACGAAAGAATGACACGTGATGCAAAAAATTGAATTTGAAAAGATACGATACGATTGATGTACATCATGTAAGAAGGCTACAGAACGGAACATATTTCGTTTGCGTTTTCTATTTTATCTAGAAGAATGACATTCGGAATTAATAAGATTAAAAACCTTCGATAGAATAATATCTTTCGTATGGATCAAATTTATAACCGAAATTAGATATCGATTTTATTTTTGTAAATTGCAATTAAATAAGTCATTGACTAGTCAATATGAATATGTTAGGATAGTGACTTTGAGATATCCAATTAGATAGATAAATGACTAACACTCATTTGTGAACTCAAAGTCGACTTGTCTTTTTACATATCTATTTAGTAATGCGATTATGATGGAGAAAAGAAATCAATTGCTTATTTGTAAGATATGTTAGTTAATTCTAATTTTCTTTGTTTATTTTATTTCTAATAGCAAATAAATGAATTTATTTTAAAGTTTTTTTTAGATTTATAACTTTATTATGAAAATAATAAATTGGATTGGACCTAGTCGATTCGTGATGATGATTCACGAAAACATTGTTACATTTTGTTATGTTATCGCTCTTCTATTATTTATAAGTATTTCATTAGAAAAAGGAAGGGATATTCAACTGATGAATCATAGATTTGTTATTTGGAGTAATGATTTTCATATAAGGTATGAGAAAGTTTTTCAACAATTACGACTAGTTAATGTATTTGTAATATTTAAAAGATTATATTATCAAATACTTATCTTTTTAAGTAAGAGAGTATCTTAAAATGATTTCTTATTTAAGAATATTTCTATTAAATATATTTTGTTCAATTCTAGTCCAATAAAAGATATTAAATATCAACTTCGAACATTTAATATTGAATTTCTAGACAAAAGTTTATCAGGTGCTTGTAAATCTACTAATTCATGTGCAAAAGATTTGAAAATATTAAATCGACAAAATGGACTATCTCCTAATCTTACTGAACGAAAACAATTTTATGAAGTTTATAAAAATGATTCAGAAATGAATAGAGTTGATATATTTATGTGTTTTCATCCGGCAGGAATGTGTGAATTATTTATGCCATTTAATCGAACAATAATTGTTATTGCTTCAACTCGATATGAATTAGGAAGACATGAAAAACAACAATGGACAACTTTAAATAATAATCTTAAAATTATTGCTTCCAATCCTCGGTAAATATTTATATAATTAATATATTTCAGAACATTAGTAAAATAAGCAAACAAACTTCATAAAAATGAATAAAAAAAGAATATTCATGTGAAATAAGTTTTTTTAAAAACATATTATGATCATAGTAGATGATGACTAGAAAGTTCTTATTATAATAATAGATTTGTAATGAATTTGTTTTATTTTTTTAGAAATATCATAGCTGGAAATAATTTATATGATGCTGAATATATTCGATATTTTACTGGAATAAAAACAATTGTTTTACCATCAATATGTGATTATACAAATGTGACATATTCCAGAGTAGAAGAGAAACCTTTTCTTATTGCACCTATACATAATAAAATCTTTCAAGCTTCATTTAAATCAAATTTAATAAAATCGTCCAAACGTTTGAATTTATCAATAGAAGTAAAACATTTACGAGATGTATATAAAAATTATTCATATGAACAACTTAGTGAACATCCTGGAATAATTTATGTTCCATATCAAGTATCTTTAATGAGTTTATTTGAACAATATAGAATGAATATTCCATTTTTTTTCCCATCAATTGATCTTTTAACTGAATGGCATATCAAATATCGTGTTATTGATGAACGAACTTGGGATGGAGTATTTCGACAACATAAAAATTCTTCAATTATATCAGGTGTTTTAAATTCTTATATTCCTGATCCAAACAATGAATTTGATCGAAATGCAATTCGATATTGGTTACAATTTTCGGATTTTTATCAATGGCCACATATTATTTATTACAATTCTATTGATGATCTTTCTAAAAAATTAATTAATACTAATCTAAATCAAGTCAGTCAAAATATGAAAACATACAATAAACATTTAAGAAAAACTGTATTAAAACAATGGCGTAATATACTTCAGAGAATTATATAAATATACATATTAAATATTAGTTTTTTATCAAAAAATACACCTTCATATGCTTTACGTTGCTTTGAGTCATAAGATTGAAAAATTGCAATGAAACTTGTATTAACTGTTAATTTATGATGTTATTGTAAACCAGGTAGTATTCTTCTGTTAGCTAAGGGAGAAGACAATCAAATTAATTTAGGATATATAATAATTGTTGATAAGAAATACTTCACAATTGATTCGTCGAAATTTAATTCGGTAGTAATGTAAATGTTTTATATATGATGTGATATTAACATCGTTTCTATGATAACAATAATTTATTAGTGCTTATTCATATATAGAATACATTTGTTGCACTTATTCAACATTGTGATCAGTATGCTATACATAAGATGCATCAATATATTCCCATTCTAATCATAGATATTGTACAAATTTTTCGTTGTCTGCCTTCTTCAAATTCTCGTGAACAATAATGGTAGGAAGTGTTTGTTATCGAATGAAAATGTATTAAACGAATGGAAAAATTGAGAATGATGTAGCTGTAACATAAAACTTGAAAACAATGGATAAAATAATGTTGTATATGAAATGTATTTAAGACAATGATTATAGAGATACACTTGAGTTCTCTGGTAAAATAACTCATATTTTTCTAATAAACAGATAATTGTTGAAGTATCATATCGACTGTTGATACCTATATATGTTATTATCTTATCTTTTTCTCTTCTATAAATGAAAGCGAGAATGCAACAGTCACTCACATATTTATAAAGGGAGAACAATGTGTGATCTTATCAACCATTCTTTCGCTTTTGGTTATAACCATACCCCTTTAGTATATATAAATATACACAAGCTACTACATCCTCTATTTCGATATTATACATTTATAAAAGATGTTTTCTACTAGTTTTAGTTTTATTTCTTAGACTTGTTAATTTTTGATACAATAAAGTTGTAATAATTAATTAATTATGATGAAAATTCAAATATATCAAGTTGATGCTTTCACTGATCAATTATTTGGTGGCAATCCAGCTGCAGTATGTCCATTGGATAAATGGTTATCCGATTCATTGATGCAAAAAATAGCTGCTGAAAATAATCTTGCTGAAACGGCATTTTTTATACGAAATTCTAATAATGATGGATATGAAATTCGTTGGTTTACACCTGAAATGGAAATGGATCTTTGTGGACATGCAACATTAGCGACGGCTCATATAATTTTTACTGAAATGTCATTTACAAACGATGAAATCAATTTTAAGACTAAAACAGCTGGTGAACTTACCGTTATTCGTGAAAAGAAAGATTCTTTATATATTCTTAACTTTCCGTCTCGTCCAGCAACAAAAGTTGATCTACCTGATGGATTATTATCAGCTTTAGATAATAATATAACACCTATGGAAGTGTATAAAGCGAGAGACTATATGCTTGTTTATGAAAATGAGTCTGATATTAAACAAATGTCACCAAACTTTGCGGCTTTAGCTAAAATTGGTAGTGGACTTACCGTGATTGTTACAGCGCCTGGACATGAAGTCGATTTTGTTTCACGATTTTTTGAAGGAAGTATTATTGTTCCTGAAGATCCTGTTACTGGATCAGCACATTGTACTCTCATTCCTTATTGGTCTGAACGATTGGGCAAAAATAAACTTCATGCTTATCAAATTTCAAAACGGAAAGGAGAATTATGGTGTGAAAATAAAGGAGACAGAGTTCTGATATCAGGCAAAGCGATTACTTATTTGAAAGGTGAAATTAACATTTGAATTTGCTTCATCTAACATATTATAGCCAAATAAATTTCTGCTATACAGTATAATTTCTATTATTTTCAAACTTTGATACTTACTAATAAGTATGAAACGATATAATTCATTTTCATTTCGAATTTTTACTGGTATACAGAATAGAGTCAGGTTTAGATAATTTATTTTTTTCTTCGTTATCTGTAGATGAACTTATTTGTTATATGTTAAAGCCTCCCACACATGAGAAGACCATCTATGAAAATAGATTTTGTTTTAGCATTTATGTACATGTTAATATCCAAGTTTTTTTTACTATGGACAATATCTTGTTTTCGTCATTCTAGCAGAGTGTCAGTTTCGAGTTGAACAAATCATGAGAAAAAGCTAACAGAAAAGAACAGTTAATAAAAACAACGTTTTCCGTATTAAAAAGTGTCTTGAGGTCATGTTAATACTCTTTTACAGCGTGATGCGAAGAAACTTGTTAGATTTTCTTCTCGAAAATATTCATTTCAACAGCTATAGAACGTAACTAACGCGGCGAGCATCCAAATATGTTGCATACGGAAGCCATTCTTTTAAAATAAAAACATTTTCGGTAAATGCCGCTATTCATTACTCAATAATTCGGCTCCTTTATGTACTTTCTTTAAGAAACGATGACACGGGATACGCAACAAGATGTGTTTAAGAACATATTTCTTTTCGTATAAAGATACTAAGATGCTTTTTTCCGTAAATTTGTTTCCTTCATAAGTAACCATATAAGATAATTTATATGAAGGGATATATATATATTTATAATAATCTTAAATCTAAATACAATCTCATTTTTGCAGTAAAAAATGAGGAAAAATGTAGTGTGAATTTGTGCATTGAAAGATATTGAATGAGATCTATGAAATGGATTGACTGTTACATTCTAAATCGTCATATGCATCTTATGAAAATTGAAGGATGAATCGATTTATGTTCTTATATATTTCAGTTCTTTGATTAAATTGAACCTGATAGATTTACTGAACAAATGTATGAATATACAAACTATTTTTCAAGTTATTTGTTCTTCAATATACTCACATTACAAGTTTAAATCAAGATTATCATTCGTGTATGATTTCACAAAAAAAGATTCTTTAATTATTTAAGAATTTACTGAACTAATATATAAATTATACAAAGTCTACAAATATATCAATAATATTCAGTAACTGACGAGAATATTCATAGATATCTATATATATAAAGAAGAATGTCTGTTCGTTTGTCTGTTCTTTATGCATTTAGAGACCGTACGAGCAAATGCAGAAACTTTCCAGAAATGATGTCTACACTCAGGGGAACGTTGACATGTACTTTTTTCCGAAAAAAATGAATCCTACGGTTGCTACAAGCAATCTAAAAAACTGACCAATAGGATTACAGCATTTCAAAAGGTTAAAAAAACATTGATAGCGAAGGCCGTCTGAACGCACATCTTCTGTTCTCTATGCATTCGGTCTCTGTAATAGCTATGATCGCCAACTTTCCATGGTGCTTTCTTAGGTCTCAAGGACGGTCGACGGAGATTGGCATAGTCATCGGGGGAGGGGTGGGGCGTGATTGAAACTTTACTAAAGTGGTTCCATGATAGCTAACGTCACCAAACCATCAATCACACTTCTGTATATACAAGGAAAAGTAGCGAGGAGGTCGGATATGGAAAGTGCTTGAAATATAAATATTTTGCAGCGGGAACCGTATCAGAGGGATTTTACAGCGACAACTGTATGAGAGAAAGTTTGCAGCGGGTATTTCCTCTAGTAAAATATAAAAATGAAATATTATTTATGTTCAACTTGAAATCAGAAAGAAAAAATATTTTATTTTTATATGACTCATTTTTCTTATTATTTTAGATCGAAATATTTATCAATAGTTGGAAAGAATAGCAAATAAATATAATAATTTTATTATTAGTGTTGCAAATGTCTTAAAAGTTTATTTAATGATGACAAAAACAACATTTTTTCTTCTTATTCAAACATTTGACAGTATGAAATATGATCGAAAACACTCAATGTGAATATGTCATAATTAGACATTAGTAAAGTAATAATTAATTTTTTGTTGTTTATCAATAAATCTCTGATCACTTTAATTATATATATTAAAGTTATTACAACAAACGTTTTCTTTTAACTGATTGTAACTGATCAATAAATAAAATAATAAGAAATGAGAAAGCTGATTATTATTCTTTTTTTCATAGGAAAAAGGCAAAGAAAATGTAGTTGAAAGTCTTCGTAAACCTGCATTGAATATATGTGAGAAATTCTTTTCTATTCCACGTCATTTTTTTATGTATATTGAATGAATGAATTTTTATTTATAAAATGTTTTAATAAATCAATTTTCTAATAAATAATTATCGAGAGTTGATCAGGCATAAATTGTTGTGACACAAGTTATTTTGAAAATTTCATTTAAAATAAAACAAATATATTTGAAACGAGAAGAATATTTTTATGGAAATATTAAGATAAATGATTTTATTGATAGGAATTATTTGTTAAAAATTGAAAATTATTCTTTTTCGATATATTTATTTTTATAGAATAAAATATTTTACAGAATTTTAAAAACACTTGTCTTTTGTTTTTTACCCTGAATCTTTTTACTCTTTTATAATGTACAGTCACTTTCAGTTAAGTGTATAGGTGAAATGTATTCAAAAAGAGAAAAAGAAAAAAGAAGAAAAAGAAACGTAAAATTTTGTTATGTTGGAAAGATCAGAAATAAATTATTCGACGAAAGAAGCAAACAGTGTTACATACACAATAAGAAATAAAAGCGACAACAACACACATTACTGAAGTTTTCGTCATTTTTCTCATTTTTGATTATTTAATTGCGGTAAGTTGTTTATTAGAATAATTCGTAAAACTAAAAAAAATATTTTAAATATCATATATAGTACAAATATGATTAGAATATTAGAAAAAATATAAGACAGATATAGATTTCATCTCAATACCAGACTTTTCTTAAGTATTATTCACTGGTAAACAGTTGTTAGTTAAAGAATCCAATTGATCTACTTTCTTGTGTCTATTTCATACTTGTCGAATTATTAATTTTAATTCTCTGACATCGTCTATATCAGAATGCTTCCTTTTTTCCAAACCTAGTCACTATAATTAGTAATTTAATAGAAGAAAATCGAATCATTAATGTAGTGTAACTGGTTTGATAAGAATAGATATAACAATGGTACCATTATATGAGTGAAATGCTAATTGAACGGACTCAATTTGTCTTGATCAGGGTTGATATCATTCGTTCAAACTTGTAATCAGTTTTATCTTTATAATATGGATCAGAAACAAGATCACTGAATAGAAAGAAAAATGATAACTATCGTATTCTGATACTTTGAAGATGTTTTTTGTGTTTTGTTGTTTATCGTATTTATAAATTTTTACATCATTATACTTATCCAAAAAGGTAGAAATTCAACAACTATCTACATAAGGCACACAGTCACATAAGCAGAGTATCGGAATTAATACGCTATACTTTTTATAGTACCATTTTTGTTTTTTTAATCATAAACATTGTCTACAGAAGAAAATTCTTGTTTGTCACTCATTCACTTTTCACTGTTTTATTAAACTGAGCTGTTTCAAATATGTCACTGTTCTCTCACAAATCGAATGAGTATCATTCTAACCGAGAATCTCAGATTACATTCATTATTTTGATATGCACGATATTACGACTATAGTTTATTATAATTGTAAACGGTTATAAACAATCGAATAATTCATTATATTGACTGTTTCATGAATTGCTATCAATGATGTATGTCAGGATATAATAGGACACATACAAAACAGTAAATGATGATTCTTTATGATAGTAAATCATAGAAAATGACAATGTACGGTATTTTCGATGAAAAATGTAACTATTCTTACTGAATTATTTTCCTTTTTTACATTTTATCATACTCAGAAAAAAATGACATAAATATATGTTTTAAATAGATAAGTTATTGAACAAATTAACATCGATGTGAACTGTATGTGAGCCAATTAAACGATATTCAAATCTTGCATTCAGTTAGGATCAATGTATCCCAATGAATTGATAGTTCTGGTAAACTGTATATTTTAGTGTATCTAAAATCTGCGTGACGATTTGAGCATTAAATTATATACACGAATCAGAAATTAATAATTGAAAAGTATTCATTTAATTATGCATGAATATAACAAAGAGATAAATGACATTAAAATATTTTGAAATTTTAATAAAAACTCATTTTTCTTAGAAAACAACTTTTGAAAAAGAATCAACATGTGAGAATCCTATTCAACTCGACAGATTCAGTTAAAATGAATTATTACAAATTGATACAACTGAAATATGCGAGGGTCTTTTTTAAAAACATAAATTAGTAATAATTCTCAGTTTATTTTTAAGAAAAGTATTCTTCTTTGTACTATAATGATAATGTTTTAAATAAATTTATGCATGAATAAATACGAAATACTCATTTTCATTCTGTTCATGTGTTCTTCAAACAATGAAATAAAGATCAAAACCTTGTCTTTCGCCTATAGAAATACAAAGGATATATATATTCATCATGGTCACGGTCATTCTCTCTTTCGATCTTCTTTTATTCTGTCAATACGATTATTTTAAGCTTCTATACATATAATATTATATTATATCTGATATTTATATCGATTAATGTTGATAAGTTAGACTATTTGAGTATCTTTCATTTTTTCTCGAAATTACCAATGAATATATTAATCTATTATAGAATAAGATATAAATTATCGTGATTACTAGAGATAATGATTATATATTTGTTTAGATCGTCTATCATCATTTATATATAAAATCGAAATATAACGATGAATTGTCTTCTTATCGTAACAACATTTGTTTTATTAAATCTTGTTCATCTGTCGATGAATCAGACAACGAACACAACTGTAACATGTTCATCAGGTGAAAGTCGATGTGGTTCAAAATGTTATTCAATTGAAACACATAAATGTAATTCGGGTTTTATTTGTCGTAAAGAAGAAGGTTGGTGTGGTAACAAATGTTTTAATCCATCAATACAAAAATGTATATGGGGTCTTATCTGTCTTAAATCAGAAATTTGGTGCAATAATAAATGCCTTAATCCAACTACACAACAATGTCGAACAAAAAAATTAATCGATATTATTATGAATTAGATTTGAAATATTTCTATTCAATAAACAATTGACTTTTTAATAAGAAAAATAAATATAAATATATTGATAATTATCCAAAAATTGTGTTTGTTTTTAATATTATTTGATCAATAATAAGAAAAATATTTTAATTGATAAAAGATAAATTATTGTTTATCAATGATTATATCGAACAATGAAAAAATAGAAATTTCTTTTTTAAATTCTCCATTTTTTATTCTCAAACACATATTTATTAATTTTACCTTTTTTATCTTCAAAACTGAGAAAAATACAGTAATAAATATTTATAATTATTATAAAACAAATCATAAATTATAGCGCCATATAAGATAAGATAAGATGAGGATCACGATTACAATTTATTTAAAGATAAAATACTGACAATTTATTAACGATTAATTGAACTAAACAAATAATAATTTTCATTTTATTTATCAAATTATTTTCATATCGACCGATTAATTAAAATACTTAACTGATAAAATTAACTTGATTACTAATATTTTTCTTTTTAATCAGTAATAAGAATAATTCTAACTGATTCAAATCTTCTTGTCCTTCAAATATAAAATATTTGAAATAATTATTTTTCTATTTCTATTATTTTGACAAATCTATTGGATAATTTGTTTGTTTTCATTTGATTTTTATGAAATAATATGATAATTCTATTAATGATCATTATACTAAAATTTCTACACATATAGAATCTTCATTTTCTCAGTATTCTTATTCATCTACATCCAACTAAATATAAATTTATACGAATGAAATAAAACAATGCTATTTTACTATTAGATACTATTCGAAATGGATTATGTCCTATGAATAATTCTCTTGCTAGTCAACTTGAATCTATCAAAATGGCCAATTTTGAGTTTATCTGTTTTGAAAATTATACCATCGATGCATATACAATTATTACTGATGGAACTATTTTTCAACATTTGATATAATTTTCTATTTATTCCAATATTAAAGATGAAATAAGTTAGATTTATTAATGCATCCAACATTGAGTTGACATTTCCATAACATGTATACTTTACGTATATATAAATATGATTAACAACTAATATTTATTTCTTGAATTTTGCGAATGACAAATCAGAGATATAGTATGACCTCAAAATAAAATTTATTATATTGTCTGATCAAGTTTTTTTCAGAATTAACGAATTCTAATCTGTTATAATGTTTTCTCAAAATTTTACAACTTAGTTCTTGAGACGATACTCTAATACCAAATGGTATGTCTATTTTTATTCTTACATCCATATTCATAATTTTATCAGAATCGAAATAAGAAGAAAAATACTTGTTGAATGTTCTAAGACCATCCGTATAAGATTAATTCATATATCTATTCAATTTTTTCTTTTCGAACTTAAATTTAATTATGTACATAATTCAATATGGAATATTTTTGATGAAATTTTATCTAAAAGAAAAAAATCGAAGGTCAATATGCCTCTATAGCTCAGTGGTAGAGCGCCAGTCTTGTAAACTGGAGG